AATATGCTAATCTTCTTTTATATTTATCTAAAAGTGATGCTCAGGGTTTGAAAAAAAACTGATATGAATTCAAAAAGTGAAACTTAAAGGCAAAGTGGTCAATTCCAGATGGAAAACCAAATAAAACAGATTTCTTAGTGTGACGTTAGGTTACACTTTTTATAAAAACAGGGTCAATTAAAGACAGTCTTTGAAGGATTGCCTATATAGACTTCATGCTAGAATTTCACACTTAGCTCATCTTTGTTGAAAAATGACGATGTTATGGCCAATTTAGTCAAAACCTGAAAAGAACCTCAAGTTCATCTGACCAACCTGTGAGRGTATTTACATTTCCTAGCCTGCTGTGGCATCAAAATAAAATTACCAACACGACTGGAAAGACACAGTTGTCACCAAGGCAGTAGAGTCATAAGTACTCTCCTGTTCTTTCTGGAACCTGAGAAAAGCATCAGCCTGGTGATCTACAGTAGCATGCTCGTATCATATTCATGCGTAGAGTTTGAGGTAGTGGGGCTTTGTGAGAGGYGGGAACAGGAGGACGAAGATTTCGTGTGGTTTCCTCTCACACTCAGTCTGCCATCTGAAAACTCCTCTGTTCAGAAACACCTTCTTTTGTCGCTTTGCAGCTTGTTTCTCTGCCCGTGAATGGAGTGTGTAATTTACGTGTGAAAATGTTCCACCGGCTCAGCTGAGAGTTGAATGTGATGATCTCTCCGTCTACTTGTAGGACAGATCAGAACAACTGCGCAGAGCTCTAATGCAGTCAAGCTGCTCCTCATTATTCAGTATGACTGATCGTTCAGTGGTCATTTGCATAGAAATATGTTTTATTATGTGGTGTTTGGATCTCGGTGGAGGTGTGATGTGTGCTGCTCTGCTCTGCTCAGACTAAATTATGATACCTTTATGGAACAGTGGCTCATCTGCCTCCGTCTCACCCCGTCCCTGCAGCCTCCTCTGTCACACCAACCCTCTRCATCCTCCTTCACTCTTCAAGACACGTCTGTGTTCTGCTTCCTGGCATCTCCATATTTAACATTTGTCCACATATTTAACATTTGTCCAATATGTCTAAATCATCTCAGCTTCTAACTGTAGGGATGTGGATAAATTTTTAATCCYACACCGATATTAAATCTGACAGCGGATTCCAAAAGAACATTTCAAACCATACAAAATAACACCAAATCATGTGATTATCTGAAGTATGAGGGAAGTTATTAATGTTTGTTTAGGTGAAATCAGCTCATGTTTTCTTGCTGCAGTTCACAGAAGAACCAATGGGCCTGTGTGACCATTTCACCTTGCTGTTTTCTAATTTTGCTCATAACTTCCTCAGTGTT